GCCATGCCACTCGGAACCGGTCATTCCATTTCTCCGACCTCAGTCTGTATTCAAACTAGTTTTTTTTCAACGTACGATCTCCAATGCGTATCAAACAAGCAGGTTTGACTCGTACACTCGAAACTCTAGAAAATTGTGTTGCATCTCGGAAACGCATTCGGAATTCAGTCTCAGTGATCCGATTGATGTCTGCCTCCAAGCCAAAAGGAGCGTTTCAACTGCGCGTTTCGGGGGACCAATAAAGCATCAGCTTCTGATGAAGCAGGCATGATCGCTGTGACCGGAGCCCCTAAAGATTCAGATTGTGTTTCGCTGGAGACAGTGGGATACATGGTATCGAACCGAAGTCAGTGGGGTGAATACAACCTCTCCTACGTGAGATCCCAAAGGTAAAAAGTCGAAATGGCGTGCAGTACGCAAGCAAAAAGGTTGTTATCCCCAAAGCTGAGGGGTTTCGTTTTCTGTCTTTTCTGTTTCTATATTTTGCTTTCAACCCATGGTTAGTTTAACACCGTATCTGTTAAGGGATATATATATTATACACTGTGTAAACAGTAGGGGTGGCCTATCACTCCGGCACCACCTTGGCAACGACTGTGTTTGGTGAGTGATTTTGATTGTAATCTTTCTCTGCCTATGCTTTTGTTATGTGCTCTTATATTGATGATTACATAAACTGCAGTATGCACGTGTACAGATGCAGCGAAATGATCCAAGATACATCGCGCGAAACTGCATTTGTGGCTTTTGTATTCTCTCCTGTTGAAACTAAAAAAAGTAACGAAACTTCGAAAAGCACGCTCAAGAAGCGCGTACGGACAAGCTATAAGACTACGAAAAGAAAATTGATGATCAATTTAAGAAGACTGATTGGTTGGACAGTACAAGTGACACCACACGGTAACGCCCAGCGACAAAAAAATCCACTCTCGGTTGTTCCATGATGACAATTGCGGTAAGAATGCATTCGAATTCAAGGTGTTGGGAAAATATCCGTAGCAAAGGAAACTTCCAAAGCGTTTTTTGTAGCACTTTGAAATCTGCCTAATTCGCATGGATTCTGTGAGTCCGCTCGGGTGAAACGTCCGTTGGAGCTACGTCTACGCTGCATGTCCTTAATGTGCCATGCTGACAACTGTGATAATCTTGTCAAGGATAGTTTTCAGTTTTCCGCCAACTTCTGGCAAAGGCGTAAACAAGGGATAATGAAACTTGTTGACCCACAGTGAAGTGGGACTCGTATATGAAATGTTGTCTAGTATCCTTTTACTTTTACTCGACTGCCTCCTGCTGGCAGATAAGTCGGCTCCGTGGATATTTATCCGCGTTTCTTGGGAATATGAACAGTATCACCAGCAACGTTCGGGACTGTTTCACTACTCTTTTGATGGTCTGAAGAAGGTGAGTGAAAGGTACCTCATCTGGTCTTTGTATTGAAGCTTGAGCCTCCAGCCACTGCATAATCAAAGCCTGCAGGTAGATGGGTGGTTTCAGAAGAGCAGGTTGACCTATCGTGCAGTTCATTTGTCTCCTTTGAAAAACGATGTCGGATACGAGCAGTGATCTCATATCGGAACGGGCGGCAACCTCCGCGGTACTGACGGGGTTTACAGATGTATGCACCATTTTATATAGTATAGAGCATTGAAAAAGCTAATTAACACGGCGTCCTCCAGCACTGCCGCTGACATAACGGGACCTCTTATTTAGCAAGTAGAAGCCCATCGTTTGCACGGTTGCCTAACAGATAGGTGGACAACCCATGAGTGAACAGTCGTATGTAGATTTATATGCATTATATATTATTTTATTACATTATGTATGCATGTCACATGCAGTATATGAATGACTGCGCAATGGCATATTCCGGTCAATCGGATAACCTGTATCTGGTGATGATTCATCGTACACGAGAATGGGCAACGATGTAGCAGCACATGGTATCATAGATCGTTTTGTTGACCAGCCTGTAGGTGCATTCGCGTGTGTGCTCACGTGCCCTACCTGCNGCAACACTTGATCACACAACGGACTGCTGTGGATTCCGACTTCGACTCTAATGAAACTAGTGTGTCTTTCTGTAACGGATACCGTCGTCCAGTATCGGTTGATTCTGTTTACTCGCGTTTACTCAGCTATCCCCAGAACATTTAACCACTACGTGTCATAGTCGTCGCATAGCTACGCGCGTGCACGGGTTGGATGGTGATAAGGTGATTGTGCTTCCGGGCTGAGTTCAAGCTACTTAGAGGTCTACGCTAAGGATCCGTAATTTTCAACAATTGTTTTTTTTGGCAGTAGTGACACAGAGCTGTTTCAGGATCTGAGAAAGGAGGACGTGTGCTAGAAATACTGATGCATATATATATATATATATATATATATATATATATATATAATCCAAAGAAAGT